GGATAAGCCCAGGATAAGCCCAGGATCAGCCCAGGACAAGCCCAGGATAAGCCCCGGATAAGCCCCGGATAGGCCCAAAATAAACCCAGGATAAGTCCACAATAAGCCCCGGATAAGCCAGAGACAACCCCAGGATAAACCCAAGGTAGGGCCAGGACGGGAACAGGGAAGGCTTAGAAGTGCGGGATAATCCCAGTTGTTTGAATCAGTTAGGCACACAAAGACACTCAACGGTAACGAAGTAGAAGTTTGCCGCAAATCGATGAAGAGGGCGCGCGCTGGAAATTCAATCCTGATTTGATGGATATGTGCTGCGCATGTCTGTTTTTTTTTCCGAGAATTGACGGTTGCGCATCAGGTTGCGTCCCTCTGCTACGAGGGATCAAAGTGCTTAGTCAGGAGGCAGATTAGTCCGTGCTCCCTTGTTGCAGCATGGCTGGTTCCTCCCCTCGTTCTGGTGACTATGTGTCGGGACTCCAGTCATCATCCGGACTTACGCCATTGATGGACCGGCTGCGACTTCTGACGCCAGCTTTGTCTTCGCATAGCCAGGACGACGAGCACCCCAGCCCAGTTACACCAGTTACGCCCTTGAAAGTCCGGCTGCAGCGTGGGCGTGCTTTGCCTTCGCAGAGCGAGGAGGGCGGCAAGAACAACAACAGCCCAGCAGCAGCCAGCTCCAAACAGGCGCACAACAACAGCCCAGCAGCCAGCTCCAAGCACGTGCACAACAGCCCAGGAGTCAGCTCCAAGCACGCGCACACGCCGCCCACCAAGAAACCTCTCTCGGAGTGCGCCACCCCCCCGCCGGTGCCAAGGAAGCGCAGGCTGACCAAGGAGTCTCTTCAACAGCTGCAGAGCCATTTGGACGACGCGAAGTTCGACGCCAAGGACCATCAGGAGGAGCGGAAGACTTACGACGACGGAATCACAAGTCCAGCCTCTCCGCCAGTGACTCCAGTAGTGAGGAAGCGCCTGCGCCGCAGCGGCAGCTGAAGAGCTCTTCAGTTTAACTGTTTTGAGTTCTGAGAAGCCTGATCCTTGGATCATGCTCCATGGCCTTTTTGTATTGCACAGTCCGTGCTTCGCCGACTGGGAAAACGGATGTCGTCAGAGCCAGCGTTGCAGGTTATTAAGGATCCTGTTGCATTGTCTTTTCGTGTTGCGCCTTCCGTGCTTCACCGCTTTGGAAAACCTTTGTTATGTTTGTCAAGCATTTGCCAGGAGGCCGAGGTGGCTCAGAAGGCCAAGGCCACCCCTCCAGCGGCAGTGGCGGTCACGCCCCAGGCCCCTGCCCCCGCAGCGGTGACCCGCCCGGACAGCTCAGAGCCCAAGGCAGCCCAGTTTGCCCCGCTAGTTGCAAAGCCTGCACCTGCAATCGCAGGGTCTCCTCTGAAAAAAACTGCTCCACCGGCAAAAGCAGGGCTGCTGCTTGCAAAGGCGGACCAGGGCACCCTTCCAGCTGTCCCCAAAGAGGCCGCGCCGCCACTTGCAGGAACTGTGCCGGTGCCCCCCACGAGCCCGATCATGGTGGGATCCGAGGACGGTGTGACGCTTGTAGAAGGAGACGTGGCCACTGTCACTAGCTAGCAAAGATCGGCCAGGATTTGGTTTTGGAATTTACGAGAAGTCTGCTGTAGCAGTTCAGAAAGCTTTCCTTTAGCGAGTCTCCTGTTCTCCCGAGGCATCGACCAACAAGGAGACACCTCCGCCTGCTGGCACGAAGGCCAAGCGACATGGATCCCAATGTGCTGTGCTGGGTTTAGACAGTTCTTTCTGTCGACGTCAACAGCAACGAAAGCAGCAAGCACCACCGCAACAACAACAACAACAACAACAGCAGCAGCAGCAGCAGCAGCAGCAGCACCAACAACAACAACAACAACAACAACAACAACAACAACAACAACAACAACAACAACAACCACAACCAACAACCAACAACCAACAACCAACAACCAACAACCAACAACAAACAAACAACAACCAACAACCAACAACCAACAACCAACAACAAACAAACAAACAAACAAACAAACAAA